ATCTACACAAGAGGTATCACGATTCTTTTCTGTGGTAAAGTGTTGTTTTACCGCAAATAGTTAAATTTTTTTAACTTAATTTACATACTACATTACATATTAAACAAAAAACTTTCTCTTCATTTCTTAAACTAGAGCTAATATGAAAAGTTAAATGTAATTTTATATTCAGCAGGTAGAAATACATAAAAAATAACTAACTTTGTTTCAAAAACAAAATCACTGTTACCCAGTTTTATTATCTATTCAAAGTTTGTACAAATATTTATATACAGGGTTTATAAACATTACTTTCAAAAATATTGTTTTATACCGATTTTATTTTTAAACTTTGAAACTGTGTAATAGAAGTGGGATTTTTTTAAAAAAATAGTCTTACTCGTCAAGTAATAAACTAAAACTCACAAAAACAAAAGCCACTTACAGATTTTTTAAAACTAAGTCAGACAAACCAGATATTAGGAATGTTTCTTTTTCTGAGTTATAAATTATTTCTAAAGCAAGGGATGTTATTAACGAAAACACAATTGAAGTTAGTCAGTTACGAAATATAATAATACCATAATTTCCGGAGAAATCTTTGCCAAGGAAAGTAAACACTGTTATTTAAAGTTAAGTTTTTCAGTTTTTCAGAAAGCACATGTTTATTAAAACCCCTAAAATACAATAAAAACATAATATATTGGTAAATATTTACCTTACTTTACATAAAACTAACTAGAGAATCGTAAGCGTCATGATATACATTTAATGTAATAAAAAGTATCATTAAGTAACACATTTTTCTTGCCTTGAGTTTAGCAAATTATTTAAAAAATGAATCGTATTCACTTGTACTAAGACCTGGTGTTTAATTGCTAATAAGGCTATCCACATAGACGGTCATCTGGGTCAATCTATTTTTTTAATAACCTTCAAATCAGAAAAACATTTATCTTCGCTGGCCACTAATGCCGGGAGAGTAAGCAAAATTCTTAGTGCTTCATATAAAAAGATGTCAACCAAAGGGTTATTTTGTAATACACTGTTGTTTTAGGGCAGCCATCATTTAGCAACACTGGAGCTAAGATTACAGTTTCACTAAACAGTTTATTACTATTGATGTCATTCTTGCCATCAGCTGTCAACGCAGAATGCAGGTATTTGCAATTTTCTTTAACTGCATCTGCTTCACATTTTTCTTTTTTTATTTCATGTTTTAGAGAAAATTGAAATGCTTGCTTTAATTTTCCATCTGTTAGATTCCCTCTTTCAAAAAAGAATTAATTGCAGTGTTTAAAACTACCAAAAAAGATATTTAATTTGAAAGACTCCTTTGCTAACTTTACAGGTTCATCTTTAAACTGCCTTTTGACCTGCCTAACGTGGCTTCATAGACAGCGTAATAAACCACATCAATAAGGTATCGCAAAAGTTCAAAGGGCATTTATCTTAATCTCCCTACGAATTTCGCTAAGAGTTTTTGCATTCAACTTTTTTACATAAAAAGGTAATATACTCCATTTATGGCTTGATTCAGAAAAAAAAATTTAAATCTCTTAAGTGTTGCTAAAAATGTTAACAGCTACAGTGCAGAAAAGTACTGCATCATTGACAACAAGGTTTTTTAAATGGCTTCCACAAGAAACGAAAAAAGGTTGTGGGTTAAGGTCAAGGATCCTTTTTTTACGCCTACATTCTTTTTTTTTCATGTTTGATACATTAGCATAATTTTGGCCACGCAATTTTTGTATCTATGTTCCTTTTTTTGAAAGCAGTTCTAACAAACAAGCTGCCAACTCTTGCCCAAATGTATCTAAGACCTAGAAAAATTCAATAAAATGTTATCTTACGTTTACTTCTTCTCCAAAAGCTGCATAAACAAAACGAGCTACAAGTGTCATTTTTTCTTTACGACTTACGTCCTGAGTGCAGTCAATAATTATAGGATAATACAAAGCTTTCTGCAGTTCAAACCAGAAAAACTTAGTAGCTTTGCAGGAAAAAGAAGACAATTGAGCTTGTTTTGCTTGTTTTTTGCTTAAATAATATACATGAGTTACCCGACCTAGAAGTTCAGAAAGAACAATGTCAAATTTTGAAATGTGTTTAACAAGTTTTCATTGTTTTCTTTGAAAATTTGTTCCACATAAATTCTTGAGTGCGAAGGAAATGTTAAATACATAAAAAGGAGTTAAAACAAAAACTAAAGTGTTTCTTTTAAAACAAAACTGTGAAATATTTTTGTACAAAATTTATTTTTTTAAGACAAGGCTAAAGCTTCATTAAAAATGGTGAACTTGACGTGTTCTTTCTGGTACTTAGTTGTAAATTAAAGCGCTCTTATACAGAAAAAGATTCAACTGCTTCATCAGCCGTTTAAACCTTGAAAATGCAAATTTTCTCCTGACGTCGTCTGCTCCTGTGCTACAAGTTGTTTTAAAAGAAACACCAAACACCCAACATGAAGAAAAAAAATATTACAAAAAAAATAACACAATTGTCGTTAAGGTTTGAGCAACAGCAATCAATTATTCCTCTAAGTTGTCATTATTTTGTTTTTTTAAAATAATTTTTTAGTAATAAATGAACTCTTGCATCAAATCTTACCTGCAATTGATGCTGATTATCCTTTTGATTTTGTTCTTTTAAACTTTAACCCATATTTTAATCAATGTCTTTGCTTGTTTCTTGTCTTTTCTCTCTATATCTGAATTGAGTTTACTAAAACAGAAACCCGAAGGTTTTTTTTTATCTGCGAATATGACTCACACTTATTCATTCAAATTATTGACTAACTACTATTTTTTTATGTAATTCTTTTTAGTTAAGGTGCAGAGTAAATACATAAAAATCAATATTTTATAATATAAACTCTGGCGCCCCTAAATGTAAATTTACAATTACAATAAACATTTAAGATGCAAACAACACGATATAAACAAACATATTACTCACAAAATAGTGCCTTCAAAAATTTACTAACTAGTATTCTTCGATCTAATTATTTTTTCATTAAAGTGCTGAGCAAAAAAGAACAAAATCAATAGTCTATTATATAAACTTTGGTGCCCCTAATATGTAATCTACTCAGTACTTGCACACACTATGGAAGCCAAAAATTATTTCTAAGTTTCTTTTTTTTTAATCAAAATTTTGAATTAAAAAAAAGACACGATGAAGCCCTATGCGACTGTAAAGTTTGTGTTACCTTATGCGCCGGTCCTGGTTTGTGATTAAACCAACACAATGTATAAAAAAGAAGACTAGTCTAACAAATATCTAAGTTTAATGGCTTGACTTAACGATTAAAAATGTTAAATTTATAAATCTGTTAAACAAATTCATTGATGAACTTCCAATGGGTGCAAAAATTAAAATGATCCGCGAATTTCAAAGAAAACTCCATCCGCGAAATTCAAAAAAAGTTCAAAGAATTCACTTCAAAGAAAAGATCTTAAAATAAACTAGAGTCATTTTTTTGACAATGCAATACAATTTTAGCAGTAAAAGTTTAGAAGGAAATAGTATAAGTGATTAAAACACTGTTCCATCAAAACGTGCAAAGATCATGTAAGCAGATAGCTAAGCTAGTTGAAAACTGCGAATTTTTAATAAGTTGTTAGGTCGAGATTGTTAAAGCTGAACTAAAGCAGTTGCTAAAGCATTAACTAGCAAATCCGGTGTTGGAAAAACAATCTGAAAACTTTTTAATTAAGTAAACTTGATTTAATCTTATATCTCATACTTTTTGGAAGTACAACTTACATTTTGATGGTAAGAGCATTGACAAACAATATTATCATAACTGTAGCATTTCAAACAAATCTAAATCTTTGATTGTATGATTGCAAATATTAGAAAGAAGCAACCCTCTCTCAAAATGTAACACGATACTGAAACTTATTTTGAAATTTTTTTTATTAAATAAAATTATTTTTTCAGCATGTGACACCAAGACAGTAAATAACAATTCTGAAAATAAAGTAAATTAAAAATATAAGTAGAGTTAGGAGATAATTATCTCTTTTGCGCAAAGCAATATGGATTCTAAAGCGTTATATAACTCCTTATAATCATTGAAAATAACCGCGAAAAAGAGCGAATTTTCTTTTACGGGTATTTAAATGTCAAGATTTAATTTGATATAATTCGCAAACAGCCCCTATATTGTTCCAGTTTAATGTCATATTTCTTATACATTTAATAAGATCAAAGTTTTATTCATTATTAACATCACCTAATATTAACAAATAGTTCATTATTAAGTTGACTAATTACTATTATTATTCAGTTAAAAAATACACGCCTAACAGACGAGTTAATAAAAATAAGAAATAAAGCAGAAATGATTATATAAAGCTATATTTTTTATAATAAAAATATAAGTGTTATGAAGAAATATTAAATTTACTTCCAATTTCTTTTTTAATCCAAAGCCTATTTTGAGTCCACGATAAAAAAAAATATCTATTGTCTAAAATATATGCTTGTGAGATTAAATTTCAATTATAGTAGCGTGCAATTTTTTTGTAGAAAATTGTTTTCATAGACGGTGTTATAGACAAAAAATGATAAATTTTTTTTTAAGCATATATTGGTATTTTAAACAAACTATAGTATATGTTCTGCAATATTAATATTATTTGATTTATGACCTTTATAGATCATAGAAAGCATTTAGATCATAAAGTCTTTATCTTTTGTGTCTGCTTTTATATAAGAAATTTATCAGTATATAATTTACTCTTATTAAATTATTTGTATCGATTAAACTGATTAATATTTAGCAAACTATTCTGTGTTTATTTCTGCACTTGAACAAATGCTTCAAAAGCTTAAGCTTTTATACTACATGTCGAGTTAAGAAAAAAAAAATACTTTAATTGGTTTAACAGAACCCTTTAGGGTAAACTTATGATTATAAAATTCTTTTTTTAAAACTCTAGAGATTTTCAAAAACATATAAGAAATTTAATTAAAATTTTTTTAAATATTTTAATTTTTAAATTTACTTATAGTGCCCAGGTATGTTTATCTAATTGCTCCAGAATTTATTAAAAAAATATTTGCTGATGGCAAACTTTTTCAAAGAACTACTTCAATTAGAATTATGGCACCTTCAATTGGAAACAGCATGCTTAGTTCAAATTACGAAGACCATCATTGGCAAAGAAAATTATTCAATGGAGCATTCACTTCACAACAGCTAAAAAACTATTTTCCTTCATTTTTAACGCATACTAATTTACTGATGAAAGTAAGTTATGCTGCTTTTTAGTAGTAGTTTTGCTGTTTTTGTTATAACAATATAAAAAAACTTTTTTTAGCATTAAAGTACATGCCAAAAAAAGTTAAACTGTTAAAAATAAGAAATTAAGTGAAAGAAAAATCAACAAATTATAATATTATTACAATTAAAATGGAGTACATAATGATATTTTTCATTTAGAATTTTTTTTCAGAGTTTTTAAATTTATATTAAGCCAGAAATGGAAATTTCGTTAGCTTTAGAAAATTGTTTATATTATTGGTATCCTGGATTTGAAGTTATTATAGGAAATTGACATTTTGATTTCATTGAGAGAATGATAAAGAGTCTGTATAAAACGAGTAGTTTCTTCTTTACATTGCATTTTTCGATTTTACCATTCTCTTTACATAAGAGTATCAACTCTATAAACAAATGAAATTTTTGATAATCTTATAAAACTGTTATTACTTTATAGTTAATACAGTTAGTAAGATTAATTATGTATTGAAGCACAAAAGGAAATTAATCTTAGGTCATTAATCCGCTGTTGTTATCGAGAGCAATCCTAGATGTTGGGATTCCTATCACTAATTTATTCAAGTTATGAATTCTGAGAAAAAAGTAAACCAAAGGATGAAACTTTTCGAATACATAATATTATTATAATGTTAACAATTGCTATTAATTCACCTAGCAAATCAACAAGTGAAACTTGTTTCTAGCCATATGCTAATACATCTTTTTAAAGCTTTCATGACTTTTTCATTTTGATGGAGGTAAATAAACAAGTTTATAGCTTTCAAAAAATTAGTCTACTTTGTATATATTAAAATCTGTTTCTAGTGCGGCTTGTAACATAATAGACAAAGTTTTTTGCCGTGCTTTAAAACTTCTAAACCAGCCTTCGCATTCAACAGCATTTTCCTAATACGACTAAAAGCTGCAATTGACCTCTTCACAGTTCCAATAATTTCGTGCACGCGCATATTTAATAGTATGTCATGGTTCCTTATGCGCAAAACCGATTGAATAAAAGTAAGTATATAAATATAATATAAAAGCATTATTGAAAGAAACAGTTGTTAACATAAAATTTCTTATCTTTTTTTCTAATAAAGACATCGATTTTGCAATATTTAAGTTTATTTAATTTATATAAAGACAAGTTTACGCTATATTACAATATACCCGGTGGGAAATGAGCTAGCGACTAGCTAGCTTCATAGCGATTTTCTAGCCATTTTATTTTTTCTATTTATTGTTTTCCAATGTCTTTAACATCTTTAAAAGTTCGATTTTAGTGTTGAGTCTATTATAATTATGAGGATATCTACAAATCAATAGCTGGTTAATAGCTACATAACTAATTTTTTTAGACAACGAATTTATTACGATACGACCCTAGCTACAATAGCCAGTGGGTCTTTAGCTTATTAAGCTGGCTGTCCTCTTAACCAAATGTCTGTCTTTATCTTTACAAATATCGATAGCTTTTCGCTAACTTAAAAAGCTAGCAATCCTCGTGGCCAAATCGCTGTCTTTATCGTTACGATTATAGCTAGCTATTTGCTAGCCGATTTCCCATCGGGTAATATGTCCAAAAGTATAAAAAAAAATTTTTAATTAATTTTTTTTTTAAATTAAATTAATTTTTACCTAACTGGTTTTAGATTTATAAACCTTTTGAATTTAAATCATAAAATAACAGATAATACACGAAATGGAAAAAAGTTCTACTACGGAATTAGAAATGGAGAACTTAGACAAATTAATTACCACCCATCCCAATAAGAGTAGTAGCAGATTAATATTATGCTCAAAAAACCATAAAAAATACACTAACAAATATATATTTTCAAAAAATAATAAAAACAATATATGTCAAGCAAATCAAAAAACATTAAACGATGAAAATAATAACCAATTAAAGTGCCTTTATACAAATGCTACCTCATTAAGTTCAGATAAAGTAATTGAGTTATCATTATTAGCTTCAACGTATAAATCTCATATTATATTTATCACTGAAACTTGGTTCAAAGAAGATTCTTTAGTAAATATTTAAAATTACTATTTACACAAATTTAACAGAATTGACAATATTTAAAACAGAAATAATGGTGGTGGTGTAGCAATATATGTTCATGACAATATATCATCATTTGAAATAAAAAACTCATCAATAAATGTTACAAAATCTGAACAAATTTGGTGCCTTATCAAATATGGAAAGGAAACTATTAAGTTTGGCTGTGTTTATCGTCCACCGTTAAAATCAAAAGTTGTTTATAATGCCGAAAATTCAAATAACACTAACATTGAAATGTCAAAGCAAGCTGACGATGAAATAATTCAAAGTATAAAAACAGCAAAAATAGAGTTTAACAGAAAAATATATACAGGTATAATGGTTCAATTCAAGTTAATGGTTGTCAAACAGTACTGATGCTAGAGTTGTAGATCTTATTAACAATATAAACATCATTCAAAATGTAATTTTTCTAACATTCATCCAAGAAAATAAAATGCCTAAAAATATATTGGACCTGGTCATAACTGAATCATCAGATTGAATCAAACACATAGAATATTTACCACCACTTGGATTAGCTAGTCAAGGCCATTTGGTACTAAAATTTAATTATAATTTATCAAGTAATGAAGATAAAACTAATTATTAAACATGTAAGTACAATTACCATAAAAGTGATTTCAATTCTATCATTAAATGTTTTCAAAATATAGATTGGTTAAAAGAGTTAAGCAACTTAATATAAATTTGTAAACTGTCATATAAATGACAGTTACAACTTATTTTTGAATCATTATAACTACATAACAAATATGTTTGTACCAAAGTGATATGTAGAAATAAAAACAAGCCTCTTTGGCTCAATCGTACCATTTTAATCCTCATAAATAAAAAAAAAATAGATTATGGCGTAAAAATCAATCTTCAAAGTGTAAAATACCTGAGCTTGTCGAACAATGCAAAAAATTAAAATTCTGTTTACAAGCACAAAAATGAATAACTATTAAAAAATTTGACCATAGTTTAGTATTTGATACAAAAAATCCCAAATGTTTGTTTAGTATTTGATACAAAAAATCCCAAACGTTTGTTTAATTATGCTAGTAGTTCATGCATAATCAAACAAAGCATCAAACCAATTCAAAATAAATATGGAGTTACTTGAACAGATGGTAGATTAATTACAGACATATTAAATGATCAATTCAAATCAGTCTTCAACAATTATTCAGTTAAAAAAGATTCTCCACTACTTTCAGATTGTACAACTGAGCATTTATCAAGCCTTCATTTTTCAATAGATGATATCAAAAATAAGTTAAAAAATTTAAACCCAAACAAAACAACCGGACCGGATAATGTCAACCCAATGATATTAAAATAATGTGCTAATGTACTATCTTTACCTCTAACAATTACACTCAACAAGTCACTATCAAAAAGATCAATTCCTGGTGCATGGCGTAAAGCAAATGCTACTCCACTATTTAAAAAATGTGATACCAATGAACCAAGTAATTATAGACCAGTTTCTCTTATATCTATTCCATATAAATTAATGGAAAGCTTTGTAACCAATGACATTGTAAACAGGACTGGCGGGAGTAGGTGTCACGTGCCATTACAACTTTTGCCGACTAAAAAAAAAAAAAAAGTCCTTGTTTTCCTAAATTTGCCGAATGTCATGACGACATTTACCGACTGTCTAACCTATATCGAAAGGGTCGACATTTGCCGACTGACTAGTCTAAAACGGTCCAATTTGCCGACTAACGGTCCAATTTTCCGACTAAGGGTCCAGTTTGCCGACTCAAAATCATTAATGGGGGGTGTCACACCCCCCTATCGCGCCGGCCTTGATTGTAAATCATCTCTCAAAACTAAATTTATTGTCTTAATCTCAACAGACCTAACCTGGAATATGCAATCAGTGCTTGGTTATTTTATTTAATGAAAGATAAAAAGATTATTGAAAAGATTCAAAGAGGATCTGCAAAGGTCCCAACCATATGCAAACATCTTGATTACACAGATAGATGCATTTTATTTCAATTTTAAAAACTGGAGGATTGTAAAATAAGTGGTGACTTTGTTTACGATCCTCCAGACCTTATTTAATTTTAAACCAAAAGTTTAAAATTAAAAAAGGTCTCACCATCATTATTTAATGTAATCGGGTAGTTAAACATTGGAATGCAATCAATGATGCAACAGTTGACTGTTCTTTGACTAAGAAATATAGACGAATGCTACATAGTTCAATTGATAGTTGCCTAAAGTCATTATATGACTTTTATATATATATATATATATATAGCAATTTTTTGTATATATATATATAGTAATTTTTTGATAAAAGGTTTTAAATTGTTGTGTTTCATTATTGCCGAAAAAAAATCAATTTTTGAAATACCAAAATGTTTTATTAAATGTCCAGAGTAATGATCATCATTATCGATACAAAGTTGCAGCCATTTGTGAAATGCTTTTTTATACTTTTTGCTAAGTATACTTTCAAGTAGCTTCGTTATTTGGATTTTTTGGTATTTGACGTCAGTATCGTTATCAAGATTTTTTTTTATCAAGTCGAATAGCCAATAATCGGATGCAGCTAAGTCTGGTAAGTATGGTGGGTGGCAAATTATTATAATTCCAGCTTGGTTTAGACAATTTGTGACGGTTTGAGTTACATGAGGTCTAGTGTTATCATGAAGAAATTTGAAATTGTGAGTGGCTGTTTTAGATCTAAGCTTATTTATTTCGCATAACAGTGGTTTTAAACAGTTTTTTTTATATAATATTCGCTAGCAATGGTGTCTTTATTTTTAACATAACCCAAATGAACAACACCTGTTGTTTTGAAGAAGATTTAGATCATGCTTTTTGGCTGAAACCTATCGTATTTTGCTATAGTTGTTAAACATTCACTTTCATCCAACCAATTAGCGTTAGCTGACTTGTGTCCAACTTGTCTTAAATAAAACCAAACCTCTCATCCCCTGTAACAAATCACATAGCCTCTATAGGCCGTTTTTGAAAAGGGCTAAGTTTTTATTACATGCCTCAAATCTATTCTTTCGGTTTTTTATTTTTTTATTTTTTATTTTCGTCATCGTTATAATAAATTATTTACAATATATTCATTTTGAGTTAAGATATGACAGAAGCAGGCAGAAGACAAAAGTCTTATCATCCAGCCCCGTTATATCATTTACATATCAAACAAAGGAAAAATTATCCATCATATAAGAAAAAAAATATATATATGTATATATATATATATATATATATATATATGTGTATATATATATATATATATATATACATATATATATATATGTATATATATATATATATGTATATATATATATATATATATATATATATATATATATATATATATATATATATATATATATATATATATATATATATATATATATATATATATATATATATATACATACACAAAAATACATATATATACAATACAATACAAATATAAAGATAAGTAATGATATAAAGTGTGATACCGCTTTTTAACAAGAAGAAAAGCTAAAGAAATAAAAATTAAGAGAACAAAGTAAAAATTAAAAATAAAATAGTATTTGAGATACGTCATAATCATGTAACTGTTTTTTTAAGATACTTTTAAAAGTTTAGACTGAAGTTGTAGCTTTAACTATTGTTTGGGAGAAATGAGTTCCACAAACGTGGCTCTCGGTAAGTTATTAAGAATTCAGATTGTTTTAACAATCTGATTTCTTAATAACTTGCAATTAAGAATTCAGATTGTTAAAACAGTCTGAATTCTTAATTGCAAGTTTTGACGGATAAGTGCTTGCCCAAGCAATGTTGCAATAACTAATATAGCTATGAATAAATGAAAAGTAAAGATATGAATAAATGAAAAGGTTTTGATTGGTTAACTCTTTTTTTTTTTTTTTTGTTTTAATTCACCTCCTCAAGGCCGAGAAGGCCACTACAGACGAGGAGGCTACTTGTTTGTGGCTATAACCCTCTCTCAACTCTATAACTCTGAAACACGAACCTTGACGAACAAGGCCGCTGCGCGGAGAAACGAGTTGAGCGCGGTACTACCAGGGACGTGGTGGGGATCGAACTTGGAACCACTCGTTAATGAAGCGAGCGCTCTACCACTACACCACTACCGCATACTCGTGGGGTATTCAAAGTGATGTTAGTTTTATTTTTTTAAGTGTGTTGTGAATAGTTTTGTTGATTGTTAAAGGATTTGTTGATGTCAGGGCTTCAACTATGTCATATGTTGTATGTGGATTTTCTTCAATAAAGGCTCGCAGACGTTCAATATTCTCAGCTGTATAGGTAGTTTGAGGTGCCCTGAGCGAGGATCATCTTCAAGACTCTCTCTTTAAATAAAGTAGCCCACTAGGCAACTGTACTATATTTTACCATGAACTAAAACCAATTAATAGGTAATAGCTTGCGCTGAAACTCCATGTAGAGCATGGATTTTAATATATGCTCAATATTCAAGTTTTTCCATTTTTAAATTTTTTTAATGTACATAATAAAATTTAAATAAATTTTTTAATAAACATTCAAAATATTTTAGCAAGTACTTAAAATATTCATAATTAAACACAGTTTAAGATGACATTTAAATAATTAATTATATGCTGTTTGATTGTAACTTTATAGATGAAGTTCAATGAACTTCTCTAACAACCTTAGTATATAGAATATGTCGGTTGTGCTATCTGTTTTTTATTTAAAAGTAACAGATATAACTAGAAAATTAAATATATTATAGATACTTTTTTCAATAATTTCGATGCCATAGTCTATTGTAAGGATGATTAAATCATTTAATTCTGCATATATTATTTTGAATTTTGTTTGTATGTTTTGGCCAAATGTTGAAATTATCTTCTGCATATCTAAAATAAAACTGTTTAATCTATTGCATTTTCCTACTCAAGAAATATTAAGGTAAAATATAAATATTTATTTACCTAACTTAGTCTACATTTTGTTTTTCTCTTTAGCCAATTAGGCGATTCAGATAAACATTATCACGTGGTTATCAGTTACTGTAAATTTTAAAAAAAAACTCGTTTTATGATCAATATTTCTTTTTTTTAAACGTTAACCAAACAAAGACAAAAAATACAAGTTTATTTTACCGCTGGGGTTAAAAACTGCCGTTTTACTTTCAACCAGCCGAAAGCCTATCGCAAGGTTTAACGGAGAAATGCGGTAAATATTTCTGCTTGTTGTTAAAATAAATCCCTACAAGAATAGTCGCGTCAACTTGCTACACTATTGCAAGTTATACAAAGTTAGCAAAGCTAATGAAAGTAACTATTGGCATAACAAGACATTCCTGCAAGAGCATTAATTCAATAAATGTATGCATTTTTTAATGCATAATAGTTGTTTAATTGTTTTGATCTTCTTCGAGTACCCATGGTAAAACATGAGCTATGAAAAAACATGATTGACTCTTTAAAAAATTTCAATTTGCATGGGAAAACCATTATTCACCCATATTAAATTTCCATGGAATTCTACCTAACACATATAGAGTTTTATTGAATATTTTTGTAAGGGGTGTCTTCCCTCATTAAAAAGAATGTTCTGTTTATAGGAAAACTTTAGAGCAACGTATACAACAGCAATTAATATTTCTAAATAACAGACCCAAATTTTCCAATTTACTAAAATGCTTTAGTATTTTTAGATTTGGTCTTATACATGTGATAAAGAAAGTGGGACAAACTTAACTGTTTTGGATGATTTGTCTAATCTGTCATTTGATATAATCGGTGATGTTGGTTTTGGTTACCAATTTAACACAATTACATCTCATTCTCGTAATGAATTTACTTCAGCTATTCGGTATTTGGCTGAAATTCAACTCAATGCTAGTGTGTTCTTAAAAGTTTTAATAAGTTATTTTCCATTTTTAATTCAATTGTTGGTAATGTTTGGGAAGCGTAGAAAATTTATACAGATTGTCCGTAAAACATTGAACAAGGTAAGAATGACTTGTTTCATACGGTAAATAATGTAATTTAATTTGTTTATAGTGGCATTAATAAGCTGCTAACATCTTTAAAAGTCCCAATTAAATATTCATTTAAATACAATTAAAGTAACTAATTTTTTTTACCTTATGAAATATTTTTTATTTCTGCTTTTTTTTATCCTGCAGACTATGCAAGTTAAAAAAAGCACTGCTCATTAAAGTGTAAAAAAATTTTTTTTTAAATATTGCCCAATGTTATATTTTTTAACATTTTTTTAATTGACTTATTAACTTTAGTTTGCTATGCTGAAAATAGGTGGCAATTAAATGTCATCAAAATAAGTAAATAGTAATTTAATTGATAAAATGTGTCTGGTTTTAAAGTAGTAATTGGTTTTTACATCTTTCCTGATTATAGATCTTGAAAACAGTTGATATTGTTAATTACAATATTCTAACTAAAAAAAGTAAAGTTATACTACATTTAGGATATTGTTAATGATAAAGTTTCTATGTGAAATTGATATCGTACCCAGTCTGCTTAAATCATTGCTTCAAATACGCACTTTTAGTTAACATATTCGTTTCTTATAAGGTTCTATATTTCACCTATACAAATATTAATTATGTTTCTAGTTTATTTTTAGTTCGTAAAAAATTTCATTTTTAGATAACGCAGGCAAAACTAATTTTTATTACATTAAAAAATACTTCTAATACTTAATAAATAAGTGCAATAAATTAAATGTAACAGAAACTAAATACCTAAATAAAAGTAAAATGAAAGCATAAGTTGTACCGTTAAACTTCGTTTTACATCAGTCTTCATTATGACCTTTTGGGCTTTTTTGGTATATTAAATGTTAACCATTAATAGGCCAGCCCAAAATTAGCTCAACTAGATGTTAACAATGAGTTTAGATCTAGTTCAGCTACTTTTGTAGCCTAAGAAATTATATGTTCTACGAAAAAAATCTTAGTTAACTCCTATAACCATTAGCAAAAGTTACATTACTACCTTGTTGTAATTTTGCTAATTAAGCTTCTTCCTTTTATTGCTTTTATTTTAATTCTTAGATAAGCTAATTCTTTTAATAAAATAGCTTCTTGACTTTGTCTGAGACAACTATTTCAGGTTATGAAAATCTAGATCAAATGTAGGTAAATTGCTGACATAAAAAGTTATTTTCTTACCAATCAAGCCGATAATAGGAGTTGGTTTTTTTGCAATACAGGCAGTTAAAAATATTTGTTGTTTCACTTTTTTTTAACCGGTATTTCATTGTATTAGTTTTAATTAGCCTCGAAAAATGGATTTAAATTAATTATAATACATTGTATTATTTTGTAAAATTATTTTGTAACAAAAAAATTTTTTAGTCAAAAAGTTATTAAACAAGCAAAAAGTTTATACTTTAGATAAAAAACTATTAAATAAGAAAAAACATAATAAAATTAAATGTATTCATTTATCTAACTTGGTGTCAAGTATTGTATGTCTACCCTTCTTTTTAACTACATCACTTAATTATATGAAACAATAGCTTCTTAGTTATTAGCAGTAATAGCTTCAGTTGTCAAATCTCAGAGTCTATGTTTTCACAATCATAACAAACCAAGTAAGGTCATTTATGTTTTACTGAAAAACAAATTGAAAAGATCTTTACTATTATAAATACAAGCTGCATTTTTTTTGTAATGGATCCTTGCCTTTTTTAAAAATTTTTTTACATTATTTGCAGATACAGAAGTTTATGGTTCATATATGCACATTTTCATATCAATCTTTAAACGGTTTTGCTTGCATTGATGCAATTGAAATTTAAAAAAAATTGATGTGATAAAAATTTTCAGCAATCCTATTGCTCGTTAGTTTAATTTTTAAGAGTTCAAACATTAGAATAAGCTAGGGCTTAAAGAGCTTTGATGTAGTGTCTTTTTACATAGGCAGATGTCAGAACCTATAAATGTTTGTTTTAGCCCTTATAACAAGGTTGAGTTTGTTACGTTCATTGTTAATATCTAAATTTTGCGTGAACCTTGTTCACATGTAATATTAATTAGTTATAAACAGCTATACCATTGAAATCATGTTTTCAAGCACATAACTTTTTTTTTCCATCTCTAATTTGTTTCATGTATATATTGCTAATTATACTTAATCCAATAAGTTAAAGTCAAACACTAACCTTTTCGAACACTAACCTTTTCATCTACATTTTTTTAAGTAAGTTTTTTTCTAACGACATAACAGTATTAATGTTTTATTAATGAAACAACCTTTACTGATAAACAATGTTTGTTTGATAAATAAAATTTGTTTAGTATATACATTTCAAAACCAAAATGAATTAAAATTTCTTTTTATATGGATTTTATTTTTTATTTTCAAAGGTTTGGGCTCAAGAGATGTTGAATAAATGATTAATTTTTTTGTAATTATTCATGATTTTGGTTATATTTATTTATATTAAAACACTCATGATTTTTAATTGCTTAAATATCTATTAGCTTATTGAAAAACGTAAAAAAGAAATTGATGATGGAATATCAACAGAAGAGAAAGATATTATAACAATAGTTTTAAAAGATCAACAGCAAGAGAGCAGCAAGTTAACAAATGATTTGATCAGAGATAATTTATTATTATTTCTCGTAGCTGGTCATGAAACAACTTCTAATGCTATGACTTGGTGTTTATATATGTTAGGCACTGTAAGGACTATTAAAATTTATAATATGTTATAATATATCTTAATTTTTGAATAACTCTATTATTTGATCATAACATACATACTATTTCATTTGTGAATGTATTTTGTTTTGAAAATATTTTTTCGAATTTTCATTTGATATTCTTATTTACTATATTTTATCTTGATTATTAGTTTAATTTTATTTTTAAAATGTTCACTTATTATATCTCGTTTTTATTCAACGTTCTCTAAAACCAATGGCTTGAAATGTTAATTATGTACAGGTTTCAATTTTGTTTCTCTACTCCACACTTAGATTTTGTTTTGAATTAGGTAAAAGCATAGTTGCAAAGGTTATTGCTCTTGTACTTGAAAAAAAAAAAATAATAATACTAATAAACACTTTTCACTTATTTAAAACATCTTGTTTTTTGTTATTTAAATAACTTTAAACTATTAACTTTATGTTTCTAATAGAGTACATATATATCGACTGACTTAAATAGGGAGAGCATGTAGCAGAGTTATATACTTTTTCAGACATAAAACGTAAGTACTTGTGAGAAGAGTATATGCGTTGTATCAAGGTTTTTTTTTAGGCTGGTAACTTATAAATTTAAAGAAATCGTTTATAGTTTTACATTTACATACACACACAAACACACACACACACTTATATATATATATATATATATATATATATATATATATATATATATATATATATATATATATATATATATATATATATATATATATATATATATATATATATATATATATATATATATATATATATATATATATATATATATATATATATATATATATATATATATATATATATATATATATATATAATATATATATGTACGAGACGCTTCTAAAGCAAGTAGAAGCGTTATCAAAAACAGTTGTTGAACAAAAATCGACGATCATCGCCCTCACAAAGCGAATCCAACAACTTGAGGAAAAGCCCATTGCTTCCTTAACTACAACGGAAGGATGGAACGTTGTGGTCGGAAAAAAATCAGCTAAAACGCCAGCTCAGCTAGATATGCTTAATTGTGTAGCTAATGAGAACAAAGATAGAATGAAGCGTAAGAAAAATCTTATCGTCTTTGGCATTCCAGCATCGACTAAAAAAGAACCTAACGAGAAGCAAGTAAACGATGAGAACCAAAATAAAAGAGCTTCTAACCAACGTTAAAATTAATATAATGTTTTCGCTAACGGTCAAAAAATCCGAATAAACCTCCACCTATTTTAGTTGAGACAACTGATACTGTCACCAGAAATAATATTGTTAAAGCAGCCCGGCGTAAATTTGAAGGCATCTATGTTAATCCAGATCTGACAGAAGCACAAAGAAGACAAGATAAAAAATTACGAGACGAGTTGAAAAAGAAAAACGAGCCTCTTAATTTAAAAAACAACCGGGCAAATGCAAGTCATTACTACGTTATTCGTAATAACGCTGTAGTTAAAGTAGACAAATAGCAATCAACAGTAAGTAATTTAAAGCCATATAATGACAATTTAATATAAACGAAATTTCTTTTGAGCGTAAGTCATTTTCAACTATAAGTCTACGACAACAGTCAGATTTCCATAAAATACCATGCTGTTATACGAATGCTACATCAATTAACAATAAAATGCCAGAGTTTCTAGCATCAATTAAGACATAAAACCAAAAAATAATCTTCGTTACAGAAACTTGGTCGATAACTAACATTAAAAACTATATGTTATTCAGAAAAGATCGCGTTTCCAGTCGAGGAGGTGGGGTGGCTATTTATGTCGACACTTCATTAAAACCTACTGAAGTAAGCAAAATTGTTTTATTAGATTCCTCTGAACAAATTTTGTGCGAAATATCGTACGGTTCCGAACACATCCTTCTGGGTTGCATATACAGGCCACACATGCTAGATCCACTCGAGAATATCGAAGCGTCCATTATTAAAGCAGATGAACTTTGTTAATTTGTGGAGACTTTAATTTGCTAGGGATTAATGGGGATTTGAGAAGTATCCCAACTATCAGCAACACAGATATCCTTTCAAGTAATTTTATTGACATCCTGCCAAGTCGTTTTTGATACAATTTGTTACTAAGCCCACTTTTTAACTTGATGAAATTACATCGAACAACACTCTTGATCTAATTATAGCCGAAAATAAAAATCGGGTCCTCGATATTATTCACCATGCACCTTTAACGTCTCTGATGAAATCTCACCGCGTCTTTCAATGGGATTACGTTGTTAAAAGCGCTGCAGTTGTAGAGAAACACATTGAAAAACGCATTTATCATAAGAGTAACTTTGCAAAGATATCCAAGTATTTTAACAATATCAACTGGCAGATGGAATTCAATGGACGCACTGATATGTCCCAGTGACTAAATCAAAATTGATTCGTCGTAGAAGCGAATGGATGAATGACGACATCAAGAATAAAATAAAAACTAAAAATAAACTATGGCCTCAATGTAGAGCGAATGGATATAAAAATCTCAAACTAGTCAACGAATACAAAGCGTGTAATATTCAATTAAAGAAGCTCATATATAAAGCTCGTTGTGAGTTTGAACTTGATTTAGCGATAAAATCGAATCACAACCCAAAGATCCTGTTCAATTATGTTAATAGCAAACAAAATGTTAGAACTACAATAACAGCCTTAAAAGGAATCAATGGCGACACTATCACAAATCCAATAGAAATTGCAAATTGGCTGAACAATCATTTTCAAAGTGTTTTCAACAAAAATGAAGACGATGAACTGCCATATTTTATAAAACGAGCTGAAGCCATCTGCAAATACTCGCAAATAACGCAAGATCTGGTTAAAAACAAGCTGAGCGATTTATTAGTTGATTGGATTTAGTTTGGATGGTGTAAATGCATATGTACTGAAGAACTGTTCTGACAGCTTCTCAGTACCTTTATGCGCAATTTTTCAGAAGTCGCTAGATAGTGGGTGTTGTCCTGAAGTATGGAAAAAAGGTAATGTAACACCACTGTTTAAAAGCGGAAGTAGACTTGACCCAGGCAATTACCGGCCTATATCCTTAACATCAGTTGTATGTAAAGTAATGGAGAAAATATTACGTGACACTATGGTCAATCATTTAGTCGAACATAGCCTTATTTCAAAAAATCAACATGGTTTTGTCAATAAAAAAGCTTGTGTGACTAATTTGTTGGAGTCGATTGACATGATGTCAAAAGCATTATCTGACAAGATATCTATGGACGTAGCTTTTATAGATTTCAGTAAAGCATTTGGTATGGTTCCCCACAAGAGACTAATTTACAAACTTGAGGCATATGGTTTTATTGGAAATCTCCTGAATTGGATAAAATCATTTTTACACCAGCGTTTTCAACGAATAGTGATGGGCGATTATGTTTCCTTGTAGCTTGAGGTATTTAGTGGCGTCCCTCAAGGATCCGTATTAGATCCAATACATTTTATAATTTTTGTGAACAATATATCCGATATTGTTAACCATCCATGTAAAATGTATGCTGATAACACTAAACTGCTGGCCCATTTAGACCACCCATTAGCTTCACAAATGCTTCAAACTGATATTTACAACATAGCCAATTGGTGTAAAACCTGGAAAATGAAACTTAATCTCGATAAATGTAAAATCACGCACATAGGTAAAAAAAAGAACTTTTATGTCTACTCTACAGCTAATGACAATAACAGTGTCGAACTAGCATCGACTTTAGTCGAACGTGATTTAGGCATCATGATTACGCCATGATTTTTGCAACCAATAAAGCTAACCGTGTATAAGGCATGTTGTATCGTACTTTCAGTCACATGACTCCGCAACTACTTAAAATTCTATATACAACCTTTGTACGACCTCATCTGGAATTTGCGGTAGCAGCCAGTAAGCCATCATCAAAAACAGATATTGAAAAAACCGAGAAAGTACAAAGAAGAGCTACCCGTTTAATATCTTCGTACCCATACAAAGATCGTCTGATTATACTAAACTTAACGTCTTAAGAAACCCGTCGCATTAGAGAAGATCTGATACAGGCCTATAAAATTATTAACAATATAGACATTGTCTCATGTAGTGAACCCCATGTCCTTCGTGTTGGGGAGTCAGATAAAATAAAAACTAGAGGACATCCTCTAAAAATGACTAGAGAATGTGTTCAAAATTGCGAGCAGTACCTGTAGGTTATACAGGAAAACCTGTTGCATTAATTTTTCTACTACTACTACTACTACTACTACTACTACTACTACTACTACTACTACTACTACTACTACTACTACTACTACTACTACTACTACTACTACTACCATATATATATATATATATATATATATATATATATATATATATATATATATATATATATATATATATATATATATATATATATATATATATATATATATATATATATATATATATATATATATATATATTCACACAAATAAGAATTGTATTCTTATTTGTGTGAAAATATCTTTAAAGTTTAAAGGCTAAGCTAAATTACTATATTGTATATATTAAATTAATCAATTTAATGATAAATTATTATATTCATAATATATTACCTACTAGGCAGAAGTAGTTTTTTTTAGTTCAGCAATATTTATTAAAGTAAATAAAAGGAAACTATATAAAAGTTAAAAAAAAAAAAAATTAAACACAAAAAAACTCAAAACCTCGTAATCTGTATCAAATAACAACTATATATTAGTAACTTAATATGTACGCTGGTTAGTAAATAAAAAATTTTCAATAACCAATTTTTTTAAAAAAACTTGTATATATTAATATTGGAAAATTTATAAACACCCATAAAAATCATTAACATGCAATTTTAAAAAGCATCTATAAAAAAATATATAATCTTAAAAATAAAGAACTTATGTTAAATAATTTTATAAGAATACTTTGTTTTTTACACATTAACTATAAAACTGTTACTGTTCAATTTTTTATAAAAATGTTTATTATTATTTTTTTTTTTGTTTGTCATTGTGCTAAGTTACTTTTTTAGTTTTATTTACAATATGATCTCTTTTTGTAGAACTTAGAAGTTCAAGATAAACTTAGAGAAGAGATTCTGAAAAATATATTGGATGTAAATAATATTTCTTTTGAGGAAGTTATGAGTTTAAAATACTTGGATTGTGTTGTTAAAGAAACCTTGCGCTTGCATGGACCTGCACCAATTTTACGCAGAAGGACCATGAATGCAATAAAATTTGGTGAATATGAAGTTCCTGCAAACACAGTACTACAAACCCATATTAGCAGTCTACACATGAATGAGACTATTTATGCAGATCCTCATTTATTTAAACCTGAAAGATTTATGACAGGTTAGATTTGTATATTATAAATTTGAAATCTATTTATTTGGACTTTGTGATGAGGCTGAAATGTTTGTTTTGCTTTTTCATAAACAAAGCAATTGTGAGAGCAATTTTTACTTACTTTTTTGTTCAATATGTTTTGAATACTAATAGATTAGTAATAAATCAAACAAATTTTACTTAATGCTTTTAAATAGTGATAAAATTGCTACCTTTTAAATTTTTATTTATTTTCAATTTTCTCCGTAATAATTTTATTTATATTTTATTGCCATAATGTAAATAAAAATTATTTTAAACATACTAAAAATTACATTATATCATAATTTAGCAGTGCTTACTTGAATCCAGAATAAATATCATTTGTTTTCAGTACAATGCAGAGCCTGCATTTTGTTTTTAGAGTAAAATTAGTTATTTGTTGTTTTATCTTGTTTTAGAAAATTTTTTTAATCAATCGAAATGTTTTTCATAAAGTTATGTTAGAAAGTTATAATTTGTTTCTCACATAAAAATTTTTAGATTTGATTTAGTTTACTTCATAGCCGTCTTTACTAAAAGGCCTCGTAAGCGCATATATTGGGGCCAAGGACTATAGGCTTACAATATTCTAAAGTTGTTTTGTGTTGATAATTCGCGACATTAGAATTATCTTATTCTATCTCCACTTTCTGAAAAAATTAAGTTAATGATAGTGTTGTGTTCCTCAAAATAATGTCTTTCTACTGAATTGAAACCTAAGTTATAAGTAAAACGTTATAAGTACGCTGTCTCCTTAAGTTTTTCTTTTTTAAATCGTTTTATCTCAAAACTAAAAAGTGTGGAGGTAGAACAAGATAATTCTAACGTCGCGAATTGCTAGCAACATTTTAATTCTAACGTCGCGAATTGCTAGCAACATTTTAATTCTAACGTCGCGAATTGCTAGCAACATTTTAATTCTAACGTCGCGAATTGCTAGCAACATTTTAATTCTAACGTCGCGAATTGCTAGCAACATTTTAATTCTAACGTCGCGAATTGCTAGCAACACTTTAATTCTAACGTCGCGAATTGCAACATTTTAACTATTTTAAAAATTAAAGTATAACTAGCAGAAGCACAAAAAATATTATAAAAAATTTAACGACAAATTGTAATTGTATTAAGAATAAAAAAAATAAAAAAAGATTTTCTTGTTTCCTTATAAAAAAAAATATCGAGTATACAACAAGACAATATTCCTGATAGTTCAGATACAGTATTTTTGGAAAAAAACACTATCATTCTAAATATCTAACAGTAACCAAGTTTGGCCATTAAGGGGCTACCCCCCTCTGTTTTTAAATCTAAGTATTTAAAAAAAAAATGTTATGGGTTTCTAGGTTTTAGTAAAATATAAACCTTTTTAAAAAAAAAAATTAAAAAAAAATTGGTGGTTTCCTTGGTAACCTAAAAATACCCCTAAAATGACCAAAAAATAACTTCACGCTGGCCAAAATATAAGAATATGTGTACATATTTACCATTTAAAATTTTAATACAATATTATCATAAAGTAGGGCTGTGAAATGAATGGATCAGATTTTTCATAACATTTTGCCATCATCAAAATGGCGCAATCAAAGATTATAGTCAAAATTTTCATCGATTTTTGGTCATATATATATATTTTTAATAAAATAAATAAATTCCAATCCATTCATTTCATAGAGTATAATATGATAAACACTTCCTGAAAATTTCATACAAAAATGTAATACGGTTCTCCAGATAGTTTGGCCGGCGTGCACAAATTTCTATTTTGAGAAAAAGACAATTTAAGTTAAAATTTTTGAAAACAATACAATTTTTTTCATAAAAACTGTTGAAAAATAAACAAAGTTTTCAAAATCCACCAGGAACATACAAGTCACCTTCTTTTTCAATTATTTTCTCATTCTTCTTCAGTTTCTTGGCACGTAATACTTGCCTTCTTAACTTTTTAACAGGGTTCATTCTAATTTCTGCTTTTTGTAATCTTTCATTATTTAATGATTTGCATCCTGCAATCATATGAAAGCCTGGTTCCATGTCCAGTTGCTTCAAAATATCAATAGATGCTTTTGCTCCAATATTAAAATTGGCAACAGCATCATATACACCAATTGTTAATTGGGTAAGTGATACAAATGTTTGTTTTGGTATACGCTTCCAAATCATTCCATAAAAAGACTCATTGGCATTTTGTGTCTTACCATGCAAACATTTTTGTAACTCAATGTCTTTACTTAAATCCTTAAATAGTTCTTACTTTCATTATGACATCCATTGGTAAACCCGGTTTCGGCTTATAAGTTGATGTCTTATTTATTTTATTGGCATTGTATTTGCACCAGCTGTCTGCACCAGTGAGGCAGTGTGGGAAATGTAAGCTATTATTTTTTGAGGAAGCAACATGAAATAGTGATGCCAACACCAGTTGGATCAGATTTTTGGAGGCTTTGAGTTAAATCACAACCTTTACAATATCTGGACATGATTTCAACATTTAAAATTTTGCCACTAGCAGTAGAGATGGCAGAAAAGACTCCGTTGAGTGATGAGTATCCTCGTTTTTGCCATGTTCCATCGCAAGATAAACAAATATTGGTTACTTTCAAAGCTGTATTTTGCAATTTATTAGCAGCATTTAACATTGTTCGTTCTGCTACATTCTTAACAGCTTTTGAAATTACTTTTATCAGTTTTTCAAAATTGATTTTGGTCATTGGCTTAGGTAGATTCATAATGGTACAAAATTTTTTGATGCCTGCATATCCATGACCTAATAATCGCATACAATAAATTACTTGTTTATTGATATCAAATCCTTTTATATTTGTCATAGTTAGAAATGTAGAACTTTTGAAAATGGTTACAAGCTCTTTTCATACACTTAAGATATAGTAAGGAAGATAAACCACGTCGTTGAGTATATCTCTCACTTAGTGAGATTGTTGAACAACCACACTCTAGACACAAAACAGAACTTAAAATAGATATTAAAACAGCAACATAAATTATACGATAACCAGATATGGCAGGTTTTGAAATAATTTTATCTTTTAAGTTTTCGATTTTATGAGCTGAAGCTGATAAATTAGGTGGATTTTCAAAAATTGGTTCAGTAACACAAGTGATGTTAGGGGCACTTGGATTTATTGTCGGCAATTCGATATTAGTACTATCAGATATAATAACAGTATTAACAGAATTTTGAACATCTCCCATAAACCTTTTCCTTTTTTTATGAGTTTGTGTACATTTCTTAACTCGACAAGCTTTTCCCATTTTTACTAATTAAACTAACCTAATAAAATCTCAAGAACTGACTGAACTGAAGAATATTGTCGTACTTGATGTACCAAGGTATTGGTAAATTCTAGAAAAACGCATCAAGAAGTTGTTCAAGCTTATGCATTGCAAGTGTAACACTATTTTGGATGAAATTAAGGTAAAAGTATGGTGTATAAAATTGTTTAAGTGCGTTGCTATGGCGTTGCTAAGGAAATTACTTAAGAGGTGGTTAACTTAAATAGACAATTGAGGATAGTTAAAGATTAATCTGATACATCCAAAACAAATTTTATGATTCTCCATAGTTTGAAAGAGTTAAAATTAAAAAAAAAAAAAAATTGAAAATTTTGAAATTTTATGGGGGGATAGCCCCTTAAAGGCCTTCATCAGTTTTCACATGTGTCAAACCTAGTTTAATATTTACTCTTCCACCGTCGTTAAAAACAACCTTTAAAGCATCTTTATCTGTTCGGAACATTATGTTCGATGATCTTGTTTTATGATGAAATGTTTTTAGCAGTTGATAAAATTACAAACTTTAGTTAATAACATCAGAAGTTACAAAATAAATAAATTTATTTTAGGGTAGTTTTAATATTTTTAGTAATGCAACTTGGTATTTAGCGGATAAGCAGTTGCCGATCATTCAATTAATAGATTTTAAAGAACACTCTTTGATTCTCAAACTTATGTCTAATATTAAAAATGATCTTTTTTTTTTTGGCATATTTTTGTGTGTTTAAGTATTAAATTTATTCTTTTTCTAAACACAGGATATTTTTAATTAATTCCTGCTAAAAATTACTAGAAGCTAATAATTTTTTAAATAACTTAACAGAATCCTACAAAACAGTTTTGCTTATATCATAGATGTGTTGCAAAACCTTTTGCAACAAATCCGCGGTATGAGCTGTTTTACAGTTAGAAAAAAATACAACACAGAAACTTTTGTATTAGCATTTCAATACTTTGCAATATCAAGTTCGTTATATGGAAGAATAAGGAAAGATTATGAACTTGCAAGTATTTTCCTTCTAACAAAACTAACTTCAACCCTGAATTTTGCCAAGGGTAATAAAAAGTTTTAAACTCAGTATTTTTAAAGCTCGAAAATGAAAAGCAAAAAAGTGCTTGCTATTTATGGAAAAAGTCTGTATCAAATCCTCTTTTACTAGCCATGTTGGCTTTTTCTTTCGAAAAGCCATAAATAAACTTTAGAGTCTTTAGGATCTTTTGTTTTGAGTTTTATGTACATTTTACTTTATGGATAACCACAACATTTTTGTGCATCTACGTAAATCTGTTTATAATAATTGGATAACAAAAAAAGGCAAAATTTATGTAATATTTTTTTTTAAAAGTATATTTATTTTACTGCTGTGTTTATGTTTAAAGTTATGTTATGTTTATCTATTTTTTTTGTTGATATCAAGTAAAAATTTATGAATGGAAAGATTTGGTTTTTTTGGGAAAAAAAAACTTGGAAAATTAATAACATCTTTTTTACTTGTATTAAGCACCCAGAAGTACGCAGGTATGTGAGTTTACCCAAAATATATGAATGCATAGAAAGGGGTTCAAAGACAAAAAGAATGTACTTAATTCATCTCTGAATCTCTCCTAAAACCTGATTTTTTTTTTTTAACATAAACATTGAATTTCACTAATAAAAATTGTTATGTTGAATTAACTAAAAGTTTTTTTGTTTT